ATCTATCTATCTATCTATCTATCTATCTATCTATCTATCTATCTATCTATCATCTATCTATCTATCATCTATCAATCATCTATCTATTATCTGTCTATCTACCTACCTACCCACCCACCCACCTATCTACCTACCTACCTACCAACCTATCTATCCATCTATCTACCTCCCTATCTATCTATCTATCTATCTATCTATCTATCTATCTATCTATCTATCTATCTATCTATCATCTATCTATCCGTCTGTCTGTCTATCCATCCATCCATCCACCTACCTACCTCCCTGCCTATCTATCCATCTGTCTGTCTGTCTATCTACTTGTCTGTATCTATCTATCTATCTATCTATCTATCTATCTATCTATCTATCTATCTATCATCTATCTATCTATCTATCTATCTATCTATCTATCTATCTATCATCTATCTATCAATCATCTATCTTCTATCATCTATCTATCGTCCGTCTATACATCCATCCTTCCACTGATACAGCCACACATACCTCTCCCCCCCCCCTCATGTGTCTTTCTCACCCCCCCCGCCGTCTGGGTCTCTATCATGATGATCACTCACCTTGCTGGTGCCGGCGGCCGGCATAAAGGGCCCCCTCTCAGCCCGGACTCCAGGTTAAGACCGCCGTTGACACTGTGGTGTTCTCGGAGTTTTGCTGATTAATAGAATCATCTCTGAAGCCGTTGGTGGAAAATTGGTTCTTTGCCGCGGCTTGGCAGCGCAGGACTTGGAGCCCTGGCTGAATTATCTGAGTAACGCTGGGCCGCGGCAGCCATTCATCAATGCCCCCCCCGCCTGCTCCTTGGTAACCGGGAGTCTAACGCGCAGTGTCAGTCACTCGTATCCGAGGTGGAGGGGCAGCCGGGCTGCGACCAGCCTCACGCGGAGGGGAGGGAGGCCGGACGCCTCTCCCTTGTTCCCACGCTTCAGACGATGGGGGGCTGGGGCGGAGCGGAGCTGAAACGGACAAATCCAGGTGGGAAAGAAGCACAAGACACGTAGGCGAGGGCCTGGAAACCGAGCCAAGGGGAAGATGGGAAATCGCTTATTTGTGGCGAGGGCCGATCAGTCCTGACACCAGTATCGCTTTTTCTTTCAGTTTTAAAAACACAGCCCGACCTATTAAGCTGCCCTTTGCGTGGGCGAGCGCTGTCGCTTGGAGGCGGGGAGGCCGCATCCGGGCCTCGCGTGCAGCTCCGCTCGATGCGTCTCCGGGCGGCTCCTTGGTCCTGACGTGTGTTCAATGTTCCGCTGCAGGACGATGACTTGGAGACAGATGTGAGCAAGCTGAGTCCCAAACCCGGCCTTGACCGGCCCGAGGAGGAGCTGACCCAGTACGAGGCCCTGTGTCCCGAGCTCTCCTGCAGCTTTGAGGTAGGACGTGCGCCGCGGGCCTGCTCCCGCCCGGGTGCGTCCTCTGCGGGACCTCGGGCCGAGCTGAGGCCTCCGATGGACACGTCGCTCAGCACCAGCAGCCCGCTTCTGGGGCCTTTCCGAGAGTAGCCGAGGGCAAAGCAAAAATATAAAAAAGGGTGGCTGAGCTCGGGTGCGGGCAAGGGCCCTACAGTCGGACACCCGACACCCTAGGGCATCGCCGCCTGTTTGTTGTCTGGTGGGCAAGGTGCCCTGACCCCCACGCATTGCAAAAGCAAGTGAAAATTCTCGATGATTAAATTGTTCCCTCGTCAGGGTGGCAGTGCGGTGCCCGATGGCTTTTTTTTCTTTTTTTTTTAAATGGGTCTGAACTCTCAATGTATTTACTAGCTGCATAGTATTCCGGTATATGCACATGTTAAATTTATATTACCAATTTACATAGGTGAATATATAAGTAGTTTCCAATCTTTTGTCATTTAAAGTGATAACTCAATGGGTTGTTTGTAAGTGTATTTATTTAAACATATATATTTCTTTCTTTTTTTAAATATATCTTTATTGATTTCAGAGAGAGGAAAGGAGAGGGAGAGAGAGAGATAGAAACATCAATGATGAGAGAGTCATTGATCGAGCCCGCAACCGGGCCTGTGCCCTGACCAGGAACCGAACCCTGATCCCCTGGATCCCAGGTCGACGCTCAACCGCTGAGCCACGCCCGGCCGGGCCCGATGGCTTTCTGATTGAAGGTGGCCGGCGGATCCCAGGGTTGCTTTGTCGGTGGGAGCAAATCGAGCACCTCACGCCCGGCGATGCGAATCCAGGGGCTGGGAGCTGCTGCTCCTGCTCCTGCTGCCTCCAGTATTTTTAGACCTGCCTTTGCTCTTGGCTACTTGTTAATGGCTCTTAATAAATCAATGCATTCGGCCATATCTAATGGCACAAAAGTCCCATGTCGAAGGGAGTTGGTGTCATCTGTTTCCAAAAAGCAGAAAGGGGTCTGTGGGGGTAAAAATCTCAGGCAGGAAATTGCGGCTCGGCGTGAAGAACGCTTTCTGTAAACAGTGCTCCTCGGAGAAAACGCACCGCCTTGGGGTGCGGCGGGGGCCCGACAAGTGAGGCTCTTCCTCCAGACTAACTTACTGGCTGACCTTGGGGAGCCCGCAGCTCGCAGGACCCACGCTTAGCCCTGTGCCTGGAGGGTGAGGACAGGGATGGTTGGGCTCTCTCCCTGCAAGGGGGCACTGACCTGCTCTTCTCTGCTTTAAACCCGAAGGAACTGGAGCCCAGGCCCGGAGATGAGCGGGACTCTGAGTATGCCAACCACCCCCACATTCCTGCCCCCGCCCCGCAGCAGCGTTGCTTCAGTGAGGACCAAAGCTCCCGGGGGCAAGAGAGAGAAGACGCAGTCCAGACGTCCCTTCTGAGCGCGGTGAAGAGGGGGAGGCCCTCTGTGTACCTGGCCCCCCAAAAACCCGCACCTAGAACAAACCTGCACCAAAACGCCCCGTCCAACGGGCTTGGGATGGATTCTTTGGGAAAGAAAGCCCTTGACATTGAGGCTTTCCTCAGAGAGGACACTTGGGACATAGACATGATCTCCTGCCCGAGGGCGGGTGCCTCCCTTTCCGACCCCACTCGGCCTCGGGAAGCCGTTGACGTGATCGACAGGGTTCTGCAGGCGCATCCCCAGCACATTCCCTTCCACGACCCCTACGTTTACATGGCCAAAGCCAGGAGAACCAGATCCGTGGCCGACTTCAAGATGATGGCATTTCCCGATCTCTGGGGACATCGCCCGGCGCCCTCTCCGGAGCCCCTGCTGGAACGCAAACGTGGAATCCAAAGGTGACGGTGCTCCTGACGCGAGGGCCGAGTTCTCTCTCTCAATGCCTTCCCTAGGGGGGACCGCGTGCACGATAGTGCTGCTCCCCGGGGAAAAGTGAGCATCGCTGAGAGCACGTCGGAGCCCGTTGGGAAAGTTTTACCGTAACACACAAGCTTCCCTGTCTCCCAGGGCGATTCAGAACCAACGTAGGGCCGCGGGGCGTGTGCTTCCCGATTAAGAATCTGCCCGGTGATTCCAAGGCAGCCCCGCACCCCAACCCACTCCAGGCCCGACGGCAGGAACACGTACCCCGGTCCTGCCAGTGTGGGCGTCATCCTCAGGGAGGTGCTCAGAAAACCCAAGTGTGGGTGATGCGGGGCCTCCTTGCTTGTTCACTGCAGATAGGTGTCTGGTCTCGTGTTCACGAGGGGAGGGGTGTACCTCGGTCCCACGGCCCGGCCTTACAGCACCTGGATTGGCTTGGAGAGTAGTTCTCTGCGTCACTAAGGACTGGGGTGTGTGGGGGGCGCTGTGTCCTCTAGGGAGGGAACCCTGGGCGATGGGTTGTTCCCAGGATTCAGGAAGGAGGGGAGCTCCGCCTGTGGCTCAGCAAAGTGAAGTTAAAACGAAAATTGCTCAAGCCAAGGGAAGGAAATTATTTTCCCTGGAAAAGTAAAAACGTAGGGTGCATGCACTGAGTCAGTGGGGGCAACGTGTGCATACCGGAGATTTCATTGACTTATTTTCTGTTTCATTAGCAAATCCGTGGTGGATCCCAAGAGCTGCCCCCTCCTGGGCTCCTGGCCGATGTCTCTGGCCTCAGCCCCTGCCTGTTACCTGTCACGTCAAGTTTCTGGGAGACACACCATTGGGGTTGGCCCAGCAGCAGCTTCCCCCTGCCCCCCACACCTGGGCCTCGTGTCTGCCCCCCCTTCTCCCCCGCCCCAGAGACCCGGATTGGAAATTCAAGGATAGAATGAGAAAAATCCCTCGGGCTTTTCCCCTCCACCTTAAGTCTCCCTGACGCTGGTATTTCTCAGGCAGAGCACTGACCTCAGTCTCTGAAACAGACAGAGCCCAAGGAGCAGAGATGGCGTGAGAGCCGAAAGGCCTAGTGGAGCCTCCCAGACCCGAGGGTGCTCCAGTCAGCACCCGGACGTCCCCCTCAGAACCGTCTCAGCGCAGAGGACCCTCTCGCTCACACAGCCAGAAACCGAACGAGTCCCTTAGTCCAAACGCTCTTGACGAAAACTGTCCTTCACGTCAGGATCCTCTCACTAAAATCTAGCGTCACGGCCGCCCGCTTTCCTACCGCTCGGTGTGGTTTTACTTATTGATAAAAGGCAGGCAGGAGGAGCGGCACTTGCTTTGCTGCTTCAGCTCCAGGTTGGGGGAGCTGAAACGTTTACTAAATGTTTCTTTCCTAATTTTTCTGATGACTCCCGAGGCCCCCCCAGGTCACCGCATAGGACGAGCGGGGTGAGGAGTGCGGGTCAGCCTTTAAAATGTTCCTGATTTTCCGTTTCAGGGTCAAGATACTTGAGGACATCCGGAGGTTCATCCAGCCCGGCGACGTTCTAAATAAAGTCGTCTTCAGCTTGGACGAGCCTCGGTAGGTGGTCCTGGGCATCGGGGCGGGTGGGCGCAGGGTGGAGAATCCTGTCAGTGCCGCGAGAGTGAGAGCGTCGCGCTCGCTGAACGTCTGGGATAAAGGCCCGTGAGAGGCCGGCCCCTTAGACGTGTCGCGCTGAACCCGAGGTCAGCGGTAACGCGTGTTCTCGTGCTCCCTCTTCCGCGACAGGCAGGACACGGCTTCCGAAGGCTTACGCTTCTCCTCCAAGTTCGAGTCAGGAAACCTTCGCAAAGCCATCCAAGTGCGTGAGTAAGTAAAGAAAGCGGCGCAGGGCAGGTCCGGGCGGCTCGAGAGGGCAGGTGTGACCATCCGCTCCCGCCCCTTCGCAGTGACCTCGCGTTGACGGGCGGCTTGGCACCCGCCGTGGTGCCGGTGTTTACACCGAGCCAACCGGCAAAACGCTGCAAACGAAGGCCGAGGGTTGGCTGTTAGGCTCCGGCCAGATGCCAGCCGGGGACTCACTGGCGATGCCACAGCCAGGTGGACGCCGCGGGCGACCCGTGTTCCACATCACGGGTCCGTACCTGGGTGTGAGAGCACCTCGACCGGGCTGTTTACACCTTCCGCCGATGCGGGGGCTGGGTCTGCCGACGTGGAAGGACACAGGGTCCCCGATTCCTGTACCTTCCCGTGTCTCTTGCTCCCATAACTGTGTAGTTAGGTGGCAGAAACCTTGGGCTCCCTTCAGTGAAGGGGGCGCTCAGGGCCAGGCCCCTGCCAGCGCCGCCGGTGAGCTCTTACGGACCAGGATCGGAGGAAAGACATGGCCTTGTCTAGGAGCCCAGCTGAAGGAACGTGCCGGGGGATGGATGGGACAGTAATATTCTTGAAAACGAAATGCCCTAATGATGTCCGAGTCCAATCTGTATTGCCAGTTCTGTTGCTAAAGCTTAAAAAAAAATGAATTACCTTGGGAGACGTAGTGACAGGGAGGGGACCCCTACGAGCCTCCTGGGGTCCCAGATCTCGATCTGGGTCATTGCCAGGTGGGTGTAGCTGGACGAATTTGTTTAAATCTATTGTGTTACATACTTAAGATGCGCGCACTGTATTTACTGCGTGTAGGTTACATCAGCTTAAAAGGGGGAAATGAATAAACGATCCCTGCGCTGCTGGCCGAACCCGTGTCAGCAGCTTTGCTGGCGTTTCACGTGCGCGGCATTAATGGATCTTTGCAAACAGCTCTGCGAGGTTGGACCCTGTTCTCCTTGTCAGTGTGAGGGGACTGAGGCCCAGCTTTAAATAGTAACAGCACCGCCAACGAGACGTGATTGCATTTTCTCTGGCAAATAGCACACTTGCATTTTTCTAGCCAGGTGGAAACTTTGTTGCAGTTTAACAAATAGGGACCTACAGCTGTGCAGCTTACTCTTCTGATACCAAGAAGCCGCTCCCCTCATAGCCCCTGCCCCATATCGTGAGACCCGGAGGATAAGTGTTACTTAACAGCCGCCGGAGACCCTGGGTCTCAGATCTGTCATTAAGAGCATGAGATGCGTTGCCGGCCGGCGTGGCTCAGCGGTTGAGCATCGACCTGTGAACCAGGAGGTCACAGCTCGATTCCCGGTCAGGGCACAGGCCCAGGTTCTGGGCTCAATCCCCAGTGGGGCGCGTGCAGGAGGCAGCCGATCCATGACCCTCGGCATTGATGTTTTTCTCTCTCTCCCCGTCCCTTCCTCTCTCTGAAATAATTTTTTTTTTTTAAATATATCTTTATTGATTTCAGAGAGAGGAAAGGAGGGGAGAGAGAGAGAGAGAGAAACATCAATGATGAGTCATTGATCGAGCCCGCAACTGGGCCTGTGCCCTGACCAGGAATCGAACCCCGATCGCCTGGATCCTAGGTCGACGCTCAACCGCTGAGCCACGCCCGGCCGGGCTCTCTGAAATAATTTAAAAAAAGAACACGAGACGTGTAGATTCTCACTGTGCCGGCGGTTACCCTGAGGCCGTCCAACCCTCCGACCTTGCTCCCTCCTCTGCAGGTTTGAGTACGACCTGCTGGTCAACACTGACGTCAACTGCACCCAGTACCAGCAGTGGTTCAACTTCAAGGTGAGCGGCATGCGGGCTGCCGTCCCTTACCGCTTCAACATCATCAACTATGAGAAGCCCAACAGCCAGTTTAACTACGGTACGAGCTCCTGGGAACGGAGGCTTTCTGCGCCACACCGGGGCCGTTGTCGCCGGGAGAGTGTCCGGGTCGTTGCCAGAAGCCCTGCCGGGCTCCCAAAGAGTCTAAAGCTGTGTTGACGCATTTCGTTGTCACTGGGCTTAAGTCACGTGTTGGGAAGTCCGCGCGCTCTGGAGAGTCTAGTGGGTTTTCTGTTCCCTTCTGCAGCGGTGAGAGCTACATCCCCTCACGGTCCTTGGCTCACGGCCCCGTCCTCGGACTCCCAGGCCTATAGCGTAGCATCTTCAGATCTCTCTCCCCTGCAGCTGAGCCTGGTTAAGCCTCCCTCCTCTAAGGACGCTTGCGATTGCCCTGGCCGGGTCGCTCGGCTGATTCGAGCATAATCCCAATACGTCAAGGTTGCGGGTTCGATCCCCAGTCAGGGCACATACAAGAATCGCCAATGACGCGTGAATAAGTGGAGCAGCAAATCTCCACCCCCCCCTTTGCCCCTCTTTCCGTTTCTCTGTCTCTGAAATCAGAGACGTCAGTGTTGCATTTAGGCCTCACCAGGACCATCTCCCACCTCACGGTCATGTGTGCAAAGTCCCTCCCGCCGTGCAAGGTGACACCCACAGGTTCCAGAGCTAAGACCGGGCTGCCCTTGAGGGCCGGGGTGCAGCCTGCCTCCCTCTGTCCCCAGGGGATGACCCCACCTTTATCCTCTGCAGGGATGCAGCCGACCATGTATTCTGTGAAGGAGGCTCTTCTCGGCAGACCCACCTGGGTACGGACGGGCTACGAAATCTGTTATTACAAGTGAGTGAGAATATCGTTGGTTTCTTCCCTCCGCTCTTTCCTTCGCTCTCGATTTCCAGGCGGCTCCGAGGAGCCTCAGCGCTGTGTGCTTGTCCCCGTCCTTGCCATGACCTTGCCCCTCCGAGGCGTCAGCCTGTGACGTGGGACCCACAGGCGACTGCAAGAAACAGCGTCTGATTTGCTGAGTAGGGTCTGTCCTCGCGCGGGCACATTAACCCCCGCAGACCGTGTTGGAAATTAGACGTTGTACAGACTCAGCTGTGATCAGGGCATCGAGCTTTACCTCCTTTCCTCTCTCCTTTTTTTTTTTTTTTTCCAATGAGCAAAATGTCTGAGAAACTGTGGCCTCTTCTTACCCTTCCTGCCCTTCGGTTTTACACAGTAGACGAGAGTGAGTGTGTGACAAATACGCATAGTAAGATGATGTTTTTTTGGGAGAAACAAATGAGAAAGGCTCTTGAAAACTCATCTTCTACCCCTGATCGCGCTAACCATTTTCATTAACGTAGCCTGGAAAATCGTAATGAAACTTTAATTATCCATAGCTCTTGATAAAAGAATTCTAGACGCACGAATTGCTTATTTGTGCATTTGCAGGGAAAATAAAATACAAAGTCATAAGGGGAAAAAAAAGGGATAGGAATTGTTGGAACAGGTAGAAAATATATAATTATCAGTTCATTGCTAGTTTTAAAATAAAAATAAAAATGGCAGGCTGGAACTTATTTTCTTGGGCAAAGGAAGTCTTTTTCTCAGCCTGCAAGAGGCCCCTTAAAAATGGTAATCAGACATTGTGGAGTTGACGTTGTTCTCGACATCAGAAGGAAAGTGTACACACTTACGCCTCTTGGCTTTTGAGACTGAGGACAGGAGCACAGGCGGGCAGGACAGGTCAGAGTCCTGTCGTCCCATCAGGCGCAAAGGCAGAAATCGCCACAGCGATGTCAGTCGTCCATGAAACGCGGAGCGGGCCCGACTCACCATTTGTAATAAAAGAGCTTGGCAGCCTCCAAACTGTGAGGTATTAAGATAAGGACCCGGGTGGTATTTTCATTATATTCTTTTTTTTTTTTTTTAAATATATCTTTATTGATTTCAGAGAGAGGAAAGGAGAGGGAGAGAGAGAGTCAGAAACATCACCGATGAGAGTCATTGATCGGCTGCAGCCCGTGACCCGGGCATGTGCCCTGACCAGAAATTGAACCCTGATCGCCTGGATCCCAGGTCGACGCTCAACCGCTGAGCCACGCCCGGCCGGGCTCATTATATTCTTTAAAACAATTGCAAAATACTGTCACTTTATAGGGTTTCCATTCACCCGAGTAGCACCTCCTCTCTGGCGCATCTGCCCGGAGACTCGCAGGGATCTTTCCGTGGTCCAAAGGGATTTCGACTGAAAATCACTTCCAGGTCCTAGAGGACACACAGCTGCAGGGAAAAATAATGAAAGCCTCGATTTGGGCCTTAGCGTGTCAAGAATAACTTTTAGTGTCCTCTGAAAAGAGTGACCCTAAATGAACGGGAAAGACCCGGCTGGCAGCCGGCGGGGGTCTGGAGGCTGGTTTTCGGAGGAGGCCGAACAAACAGCACATCCAGCATCCTCTCCGGGTGGGGCACGGGCCCCCGTCTCCGGCGAGGGAGGAAGCCACCCGTCTAAGAGCGCAGCCTCTCGCCCTGAGGAAAGCCAACGTTCGTGTTAACAGCTTTTAGATTCATTAACAAGACAATTGTTACATGATTGCAGAAGAACAGGGGTAACATGGAAACCATGAACGCATAATGGGATTCATTTTTCATTTTCCAGCCACGAAAACAATAGGTGCATGGATAAGATCGCTACATCCTAGCATAGTTTGTTTTATACAATTACGCACCCCGTTAGGTTAACCTGTTTCCAGGACTGTGATCTACACTCAGGATGGGTGTGCGCATCTCAGCTCAGCCACGAAGCAGAGGGCCTCTCCCCGTCAGAACGCCGGGAGCGTGTTCAGCCCGTCTCCCTTTTTAGGCGCCGTAACCTTCGGGTCAATCTGCTTGGGAGGATTTCTTTGCATCATCCCTGCCTTTGTTCTACCCAGTGTCTTCATTGGGAGGACTTCACCCCCTCGTTTCTTCGTCTTCCGATGTCACCAGGAGCTCGGAAGTTCTGGTCTGTTGCGCTTGTTAATTCCCAGATCCGTTGCTGCGTCCTAGAGGGGCTGCCAGGGCGCCCACTGTGGAGACCACCGGGAACCACAGTGCACGGCGTAAGAGGGTGAAAGACTAAAAGACACGCAGACGAAATACGCTCTTTATTTATTTCTAAGAGTGGCAGCAGCGATGACCGATTAAGGAGGTCGGCGGACTGCTTCGTGGGTCCTGTTTCCTCAGTTACAGTGTGGTCTCCAGACTCTGTCGATGAGATACATTTATGCATCTCCTCCTAATATCGATACGTGGATGCGCTCATAAGTTATTTTTAATCAACTGTATACACATTACTAATGTATCACGTACATTAGAAAACATACAAAAAGTTAAGAATTTTAAGTGAAGAGAAAAAGATGAAACATCCTAATTTTAACCGCCTACCTAATTATTTATTTTACCGTCAGCCATGGGGGTGTGGGGTGCCGATCCCCCCCCACCCCTTGCACGGTTTCAAAAACTGACGTGTAACTTTTGACTCCCCAGAACTTAAGTATTAATAGCCTACTGTTGACTGGGAGCTTTACTGATAACATAAACTGTCAATTAATACATATTTTATGTTCTGTGTATTCATACACCCAAGTCAGCTAGGGAATTAAGAAAATAGTGAGAAAGGGAAAATACAATTAAAGTGTTCGTTGAAAAAAATCACGTGTCAGGGGGCCCGCACCATTCAATCCCCTGTTGTTCAAGGGTCCACTGTGTTTTTATACTATTGATAACTCAGGAGATACTGTGCCCTTAGGATTTAACATTAAAAAAAGCACCCAAAAGCCATAATGGGAATAGTCTTTTTTGAATAATTTAGAAAAACCTTGGTTAACGTCCCAGGTCTAATCAGATTATTTTTACACGCGTAAGAATTCTTGAGAAAGAGCTGGTATTAGGGTAGGAAGCGGGCCATGTCCCTTCTTCTGCTTTCGTGGTGATTTCTCCTTGAAATTTGATATTGTCCTGCTGCGGCTTCTAAGCAGAGTTAAAAACAACAGCTGATTGTCCCTATTGTGAGGTTTGGTTTAATTTCGACAATATAATCTGCCACCCCGCTTATCCGGGCTTCTGCAAACCTAAGCACGTTTCGGGGAGCTACGGGCAGCGAGGGGGTGGGGCGCCGTTCCTGCCGCTCCCTCCTGACGGGCGGTCGTCGGTGCTCGCCTGTCTGACCGAAGAAAACCAGACGCAAAATCAACAGCGCCTCTCCCGGCCCAGCCCCGGGAAACACGGAGAAGCGCGGATTAAATAATTCGTCACCGTAGACCGGCCGGGACCGCGTCAGGGCGGCACTCATTAAACCCCAGACCACTCGACTTCTTTCCCATGACCTAGAATCAGGACGAATTTAAGGAGAAGCTCTGATACTTGCGCCCTGTGCCCAGCGGGCCCCCCCCCGAGTCCCTCCCAGCTCCAGCCCGGTGTCGTCCGGGTGCTGAAGGGCAGAGGGCGGGACGCGGCCCTCGGAGCGTCCACGCCGTCCACGCGGCTGACCTCTCGGGGCATTGACCTCTGCGTGTGAGACGCCGCGGAGCAGCTCACCCGTGAAGGTGAATGTCACAGGAGAGCTCTGCCGTTGCGCATCCTTCCCGGGGATCTCGGGGGAGAGACTGGGTGTCACGGAGAATATCAGAAACGCCGCAGACGCGGGGAAGCCCGGCCGCCGGGAAGCTCTGCCAGAGCAGGACCCGTGACGTGAAGGGGGGCTCCCCTGTTAAACGGAGCCGTGGCTGCTACAGGTTATCTAATGCGCGCTCTCTCTTAGCGTTTGCTTATTTCACGCACACGCGGGGAAAAAAATATGACTTCCCAGCATGTTTTTAAGTAAAAATGGAAACAGATTGAGTCCGTAACTATGCATTTGTGTACTCGGGTCCTTGGTTCGTTGAAGGCTTTTGAGTATAAAAGTGCAGATCCTTCCGAGATAAGTGGTCCCGGGTGGCTTTGAACCGCCCAGTGGCTGGACCTGTCCAGCCTCATCTTTCACCCGAGATGGCTTGTCCAGGATCCGGCAAATCGAACAGTCGCCTGATTCCACCCGGCTTCTTGTGCACCGAGGGGAGCGGATGGAGGGGAGAGAGGTCTTGGACTCGGACGCCTACCGTCCAGTAATGGTGTGACTTTGAGCAAATCGTTCCAGCCTTTCTCAACCTCAGATTCCTCATCTGCGAAATGGGTATAGCAATGCTCTCTGCCCGAAAGAGCGATTCTGAAAATTAAGCGAAATGGGACAAAGCCAGAGGGACGCTTCGAGCAGTGTCTGAGGCCTAGTTCACGAGCGTTAGCAGTTGCCATTCGAAACGTCATCCTGGCAACAGATGCCAGCGACACGGAGAATTACAGGGATGGGCCGTTTTCACTGGCTCTCCCCCGGGGTTAGTGGGCGTTCCTTCTGTTACTAAACGTCATACGCAGCCCTGGGTTATGAAGACTGAGACGTGACAAATAGGGCCAAAAAAAACCCCCTCTTGTCCTGTTATCCATTCCTAAGAGAGAGGTGATGTAATAATAATATAATAATAATAATTATTATTATAATGATGGTAATGATGATAAAAATCTTGGTTGTGAAGTAAACCCGCCCCTGGGGCCGAATCCTGCTCACTGTGCCTGTCGTGTGGGGTCGCTCAAGACACGTCACATCCGTGAGCCTCAGTTTCCCCATCTGTAGAGGGCGTGTAATAATGCCTGCTTTCCAGAGAGGTCGTTAGGATTACGAGTAAACCGTTCATCCTAACTATTCCTGCTGGAGTCTTGGGTCCACTTAGTCCTACCGACTTTAACTGAACAGCTGCTGACTTCAGGTGCCGGGCCAAGCGTGAAGACCCATCAGGGCTCGGGCGGCGAGGGGCAGACGGTGCGATAGGAGCTGTGTGAGGGTGGCTATCAGGGGAGGCTTCCTGGAAGAGGAAACACTTGAGCTGCGTCTTGAAGGACGAAGAGGAGTCGGCTGAGTGAAGGGCACAGAGGAAGGGCCAAGAGCCATTTAGAGTCGGGAGGACGGGGTTGCTCCCTTGCAAACATATGTTCGCCGCCTCGTTGGGTTGGGGAGGTCTGGGTAAAGCAGAGTCAATTAGGCATCGAGGTTCAGGGGGCACGGTGGATGGAGGTGTCTTTTCGAAGATTCAGGTCCTGCAGTCACAAAGGAAACGGGTCCCTTTCATGTGATGCTGGAGAGCTGGGTGGGACGGTCACTTGGCGCCCACATCGCTAGGGGGCACCCTTCTTTCCTCAGAATGACCAAGGCTCCCGGGTGCCACGCTGGGAGAAACTGAGGCAAGAGACGTGTGCGAGGCCGTCGTTCGTGGGACTCCCAACTCCCCTCGCTCCCGTTAGTAGTGTTGTAAATATTAAAAAGTTGCAAAACCGCAAGAAATAAGACAGGAGACTTTCTGTTCATTGCTTTCTCACGTGCTTGACTTTTTTGTTTGTTTTGTTTGGCGGGAGGCAGAACAGGCCGACCCGTGTTTTTTAAATTCTGCAAGAACACCCAGAATGATTATCTGCTGTTCTCCCCCCCCCACCCTTCCCCCCAAGAAAACCCCAAAGCACCAGGGACACGTAAACCAACCCTGTAAATGTTCAACCGTGGCCTCTCCTCTTTTGGTTGTCTGGGCGCGTTTGCATTACAATGCACCCCCATGATTACGTTTCTCCGGGAAGCCCTCACGGCTGTCTTAGGCTGTCTTAGGGTCGTCGGCCGGCAAGGCCACGGCGCATCTGGCGGCCTGTGGGGAAAACACTGTTCGGAAATGCACTTCTGGGGGCAATTTACTTGGATGCTGTTCTCTGAGGGACCCAAATTAGCTCTTCATCTTTGACAAAGGGACCCACGTGCTCTCCCGAGCTCGAGGAAGCCCGGCCGCGTTTGGGGTGAGAGATGTGTTCCTTTGGGAGGAAAAGTGCTGTGAAGAGAAAAAGACCCTGCAGACGGACGGATCTGGGTTCGAGGCCTGTATTGACCACTCCCTGGCTCTGCAGCGTTCGACAAGTTAATTTTTCCAAGCCTCTGTTCCTTTATCTACACAATGGGCTGTGATAAGATACGACAGGCTGAGTCCCGAGCTGGAACTCGGTACACGGTAGTGATTGCCAATAACCGCCCTGGGCAGGAGGAAGGGACAGGAAGACCGTGCTCTCC